GATTCTACCCTGGGCCGTGGCGGCTCACTGGGGACCAAGGACCAGGATGCTGGTGGCACTGTTCTGTATTTTAGGAACTTTCTCTCTGCGGTTCCTGATGACTGTTTAACATGCTGCGCAGAAAGCAAACGTATGTTGGCCTTGCCGCCTGGTCCGCGCGCGTCCATCAGCCGCATCCCTGAAACCCGCCGCCACTCGGCCTTCGCCTGCGCTGGAACCACCGCAGCACTCTGCCTTCTGCTTAGTGGCTTCATTTCTTGAGTGCCCTTCCCTCCAGGAGCTCAAGGAACTTCACTCAGAGAACTTAAAACACGTAAAACAGGGCAGAAAGTTCTCCAGCTGTATTGGGGGGGCAGGGGGGGAATCAAACGATGGGGGAAGGGAGAGAAGAGAGCGGTAAACTGAGGCAGCGGAGGTGGGGGCTGGGGCTGGGGAAACTGAAGCATCCGCAGTGGGCAGACTAGAACGCAGAGTTCTCCGGACCGTGCCGGCTTTGTCCAGATACTTAAGTTCACGATTCAGAAACACCCTTGGGTGGGAGAGCAACATGCCCAGGGGGCCTGTGTCACAGCTCTGGGGGTAAATGATTAAACCGGGGGCATCCAGAAGTCACAATTTCCCCTCCAGGTGTTGGGGCTGAGAGCCCGAGCGGGGGATGGGTGGGCGGAGGGCAGACTTCGTCACCAGCCAGGGTCCAGGCGGGGTGTGTGCAGACCGTCCGGCCGGCCCCAGGAAGCTTCCAGAACTCTGGCTGAGGGAGGAAGAGCCCCGGGGGTGCCCTGCTGCCCACTCTTCTGTGGGACCAGCCCTCCCTCCCCCACCCCAAATGGCAGCGATGCCTCTGGGAGGTCTTCGGAAGGGGCCCGTCGCCTGGACCGCAGGCCTTGAGCCCAGACATCCTCCACGGGGCGTCCCTTCCCACGGCCGCTCCAGGGCTCCGGGCCGGGGTCGGCAGTCCTGGGGTCGCTGCTGGGTAGGGGCTGAGGCCCAGCCTCTCCGACCGGGGTGGAGGGGGCGGGGCGGGGCCGCCCCAGGCCTGCGGTGGGGCAGGTGCGGGGGTCTCCTGGCAGCCCCCGGGGCCCAGAGCCCACCCAGCGCACCCCTTCGCGCCCTCCTACCCCGGCGGCACCCAGGCCCCGCCCCTCCCCCTCTTCCTTATCTCTTTTCTAACCTTTTGCATTTTTTTTTTAGTCTCATTTCCTGTCGGGTTTTGCATTTCCCTCCCCCTTCCAGCCTATGACACACTTTCTCTCCTTTTTTCTCTCTTTTGCCTCCCTTGGCCTCCGAACTCCTGCCCGGGTGGCGCGCAGCACCCTCCCGGCCCTGCAGCCCCTGGGCAGGCTGCGCCCCTCGGACCGTCCGGGCGGCGGGCCCGAGGGCCGGGGCCCCGGGAGGAAGCCGGCGGCCTGCGCGGAGGAGGCGCCGCGGCTGGCGGAGTATGAGCGGCCCAGGTAGGCGCGGCGGACGCGGGGGTGGGGACCCGGGTTGGGGACGGGGAAGGGGGGGCGGGGGCCACCCTGGGGCGGCGGCCGGTCCAGCTGGGGGGCGCGGTCGAGGTGGGTGGGGGGCGACGAGGGTGTCCGGAGTGGCTCGCTTTCTCACCCCTCTGGCTCCATCTCCATCTCCCTCCGCCCGCCGAAAACTTTTCTCTTTCTCCCACTTTATCTCGCCGCTGGGTCTCTCTCGGACCGTCGGACTCTGAGTGGCCCCGCCTGGCGACGTCCCCCGCCCCGCCCCGGCCCCCCGCCCCTCCGAAAACAAAGGGATGAAAAGATGGGGTGGGGGGCGGTGGTCTCGGGCAGCGGGCTGGCCGGCGCCCCTGGGGGCCCAGAGGAAGGAAGAGAATCTTTTCTAAAACCTTAAAGGACAGGAAGTCTCCAGACCACAGCCAGGCCTGACTCGCAGGCTCCTGAGAAGGTGGGGCCCCGGGGAGCGAGGTGGGGCCCTGGCGCCTCAGCAGAGCCAGGATGGGTCCCTAGAGGCCTCGCGCCTGGAGTACCCGCCTCCCGGGCCCCAGGGCGCTGCCCGGGCTGGAAAGCCGACCCGCATAACCCCCCAGAGCCCCACCCGCCAGGGTGTCCTGAACCCTCCCGGGGCGGGGAGAAGGGTTCTCTGGGGGAGACAGTTTTGGAGCAGGGAGTGGGGCCTGCTTGCCTGCGTCTGGGCTCCCAGCTTCCTGGCACCTTCTGGGCAGAGTGCGAGCAGAGGGCAGTCGGCTCAGACCTGGTCTTGGACCAAACCCGTCTCTGCGCAGCCTCCGACTTGTAGTCGAGAAAGACCCGTCCTAACGTTTGCTGCCTCTTCCAAAGGTGTAAGGCTGCTGCCGCTGCCCAGGAAGGAAAGACACGCCGATCCAGTCCCAGACAGTTAGTGGGCACCTCCCCTGTGGTTAATGAGCACCAGAAATCCGAAGCCCTGGGTTAATGCCTGGGCAGGAATTTAGCTAAAATGCTGCCCTCTGTCTTTGCCCTGAGTCTGCACTTCCCTCCACCCCCAAGGCCAGGTAAAGAAGTGACCGTCGCATTTTGGGCTGTGGGCTATGGGCTATGGGCAAAGGGAGCCTGGGACTCAGCCGCCCCCACCCCAGGCAGAATGGTTTGGATGTCTGTGCATTGTAATTAGCACCCGGATCAAAAAGGAAGTCTGGTGACCCCAGCAGCCCCGAGTCTGTTCCTTTGTGTGATTTTTTTTTTGATTGTGGTAAAATACACATGACAAAACCTTTGCAGCCTTAACCGCTTTTAAGTATACAGTTTAAGGGTAATAAGTGCCTTCACATTGTTGTACAACCATTACCACCATCATGTCCAGAACTTTCCATCTTCCCAAACTGAGACTCTGTCCCCTTTAAACACTAATCCCCCATCTCCCTCCTCCAGCCCCGGGTACCCACCCTTCTACTTTCTGCCTCCCTGAATCTGACTCCTCTGGGGGCTCCATGTAAGTGGAATCCTACCGTGTTTGTCCTTTAGTTCACTGAGCATCATGTCCTCAAGGTTCATCCATGTGGTAGCTGGTGTCAGAGTTTCTTTCCTTCTTAAGGCTGAATAATACTCCGTGGTAGGCATGGACCCCATGTCATTTATCCATGAATCCTTTATGTGATATTTTAAAATGACTGGTAAACCTAACTCTTATTCTCAAGGTGACGGCCCTGGGTTGAATCAGTTAGTGGGCACCTTTTGGGACACAACAGAAGCAAGGTGGAACCCAGATGTCCCCCTCTAAGCAGTTCAGGCCGTATGGAGACTCAGGCTGGAGGGGGAGGATCAAGAGGAGGGTGGATGGCGGACGCTGAGCGTGGGACCCACGGGGATCAGTGGAAGGTTCGGGCCGAGACAGCGCTGGCGGGTCCCGGACTCCCTTCTCCACTTCCCACTTGCGTTTCTCCACCCTCCCGATGGAAGCCTTGCTTCCCGGGACTGGAGGCTGTTTCTGGTTCGGTGACTATAGCGCTTCATGCATGAAAAGCCACATCGAGTCCAGTGTTCAGCTGATTATGATGAAAAGGGGCCCAAGGCTGGTAAGCGGAGCTCCTGCTGTCCGGTCCTCTTTTGCTTTGCCCCTGCCCTTGGCCTTGAAGACAGTGCCCCCTGGCAGTCAGGACGATGGTGAGGTCCCACACGGGTCAGATGCCCAGATGACCATCCCAGCCCCGAGTGTGGCCAGATCTGTGAAACGTGTGTCAAAAAGAAGTCAGATCAGTGACTATGCTGGCGGTCCAGTGCTTAAGACCCTGCGCTTCCACCGTAGGAGGTTTGTTCGGGTTAGATACCTGGTGAGGGAACCAAGATCCCACATGCCCTGTGGCCAGAAAATAAAAAGTTCAAAAATTTCCGAAAGAATCAGATCGAGTGGGGAGGCAACAGAAGGGCCAAGGTCCACCTTCTGTGTTGGGGGCCTGGTGGCGGGTGGGAAGGAGCCTCGGGCTGTGGCCCAGACGTGGCTTCCAGTCATGATTGCCTAGCTGTGCCGGCCTGTCACCACTTCAGCAATCTGGGAGTCATTTCTCCCCAATGAAATCAGGGTATTAATAGTGATCATTTTCAGGCCTGTCCGTTACACCAAGCATAAAATGAGAAAACACGAGACGTACATATGACTACCTTTGCTGTTGTTATTCCTGAGATTCAAGGGGGGTGAGAGGATGGACGCTAAGGTCAGGGCCTGGGGCTGGAGTGTGGCTTCCCCAGCCCGTGCTGGGTGGACCCCCTTCCTTGGTCCCCTGGTCTGCAGTCCCAGTCTTCCAAGGCAACCGTGAGGATGGAAGGAAATATACCCTGTAGATACAGTGCGTTATCCAGTAGGTCTAGAACATTTTGTCCATGGAATTCTCCTCTGTCCATAGAATTCCCCAGGTAAGAATACTGGAGTGGGCAGCCTGTCCCTTCTCCACGGGCACCTTCCTGACGCAGGGATCAAACCTGGGTCTCCTGCATTGCAGGCAGATTCTTTACTGTCTGAGCCACCAGGGGAAGCCCGAGAACATTTTGAATGGATTTAAATATGGAAACAGAAAGGAAAAGAAAAGACAACTGTCAAGGAAGCCCCTTAAAATGCTTTTCTGCTCAAGAAAAATTGCATCAGAGGATTCTCAGCCACGGTGCTCGGCAGAATGGGGCTTGTGGGCGTGACCTGTGAAGACCATGCCCAAGCAGCATCCCCCGAAATCTGCTTGAACAATTCCTTCCTGCTTTTAGTGGGGTGACTATTTTCAGGAGGGTAGCCCCTTCGGTTGTGATTTGTTCAGGGCCCTGAGGTTAAGAATGGTTGTTGTCACATTAGTGTAATGGTCGGGCGCTGAGAGGTAATGAAGGTTCTCTGTTCCTGCCTTCTCTGGCACGCGCGCTCTGCCAGTCCAGACCTGCAGTCAGCTCCCCAAGCTCATCTCCTCTGGTCCTCCCAGCTCCCCGCTGATGGATGAGCCAGAGCGACAGCTCCATCCTCCCCAGGGGGTTTCTGTGTCGAGGCCGTACCCCTCCTTCTCACCCCACACCCACCTCTGAAACGTGCGTCCTCATACTCTGGAGCACCAGGGACCAGGCGGGGCCCCAAGCTCTGTCCACACCTCACAGCCTGCAGGTGCCATGCAACACCTGTCTGACTGCTGTGTACAGCCAGCACCTTCCCTGGTGCTGGTCCGGGCTCCACCGAGAGGCCGGATCCTTCAGTGGCAAGATCTAGGGACATGGAGCCGGCAGAAAGGGCGTCCGTGCCGGTCTGCCGCATACTAGCTGCGTGACCTCGGGGAAGTCACTGAACATCTCTGAGCCTCAGTTGCTGCGTGTGTAGAGTGGGTGTGGAAGTACCACCCCTAAATTAACATAGACCAGAGTGTTTCCGATTAAGAGTGCTTCTGCTTTTAAAGGCTCACCTGTGACTTGGCTCGACAGAGTCGAGGGTGGGTGGTACAGCAGAGTGAAGAATTTAACCCAAAACTGAACTCTCGTCGGACAGATCTGTTTCCTTAATCTACAGAGAACTCTCAGAAGAAATCAGGGAGATGCAGGAATCAGCACACTTCTGTAAAGGCCCAGGTAGTAAATATTTGAGACTCTGACAGCCAGAAGGTCCCTGTGGAAACAGCTCAGCGCTGTCCTTGTAGTGTGGCCAGTGGGGCAGGGTGGATGGTGAGGGGAAGGGGGGTGGCACTCCATCATAATTTGCTGACTTCAGAATTAAGGAACTGGACCCAAGAGAAAATGCTTAAAGGATGTGAACAAACAGAACGTGAACAGACCAATCAATTTACAGTGAATAAATACAAACTAATACAACAGAGATACACCTTTTTTCACTGTCAGACTGGCAAAGATTAAAAAACTTGAAAGGGAAAGTAGGCAAGTCGAATGTGCTGTGGATTTGACAGTATCTACTAACATGGTAAGTGAAGAAACCCAAGAATTCCGCTTCTGGAACATTATCTCACAAATAGACGTGTCCATCTTTTTTTTGCATGCAGATGTCAATTGTACCATCGTTTGTAATGGGGAAAAGCCTAAAATCACACAGATGCTCTTCAAAAGCAAAGTCCATCCATACAGTGGAATTCTGTGAGGCCAGGAATGAGATGAGGGCATAAGGGGTTTTCTAGAAGAAAAAAAAACAAAAAAGCATGTGGAAGAAACTGCATGGGACAAAAAAAAAATTTTTTTTCTTTAATTACACCTAGGCACATCTTGGTGAGATTTCAGAACTCTAAGGATAAGAAGAAACTCCCCAGAGACTTTATAAAGAGTAAGGAGGAAGGTCACCTATAAAAGCAAAAGTAAAATTAGTCTTGTATCAGCACTGCTAAAGGCAGAGAGGCAGTGACTTCAGGGAATTGATTTTGGAAAGTCAGACTATTAGACTAAAAACCAAAACAAAAGAACATAAGAACAGAGAAAGAAACTGCTCTGGTGGGATGTCTGGGGGAATAGGGGTTGGGGGATGAAGGGGAAAATTCTAGTTTTCATTTTGTGTCCTTTTCTTTGTTTGTTTTTACCTTAGCAACTCTTATCCTTCTGGTTAAGGAAATAAGAAGGAAAAACCATGTTTGGAAGAGACAGCAAGGGTTGGTCCCCCTGCACTGTCCCGTTGATCCTAGCCCTCCTGGTTCCCACCTGGAGGGACTGCAGGAAGAGACTGCCTCTTGCAGTTCTGTTTCCAGTTGTGTCAGAGGAACGGAAATCAGAGGGCCTCCCCGGCCCTGTTGAAAGGCAAAATTGATTGGTTGTTTTGTTTTTTTTTTTAAATAAAGAGGATTCGTTTTCCATTAAGGCATAGCACGCGCACGGTGCCTGTCCCAAATCTGAGGTCCCCGTGGATGGCGCTGCACACACACCCACGTAACTGGTTACCCAGATCAAGACTCGGGTCCTTTCCAGGCCTGGGGGGCGGGGGCATCCTCATTCTCCTTCCCGGTTGCTAAGCCCCCTCCCCCTGCCTGTCCTTGACCGTCACACACATGGCATCACAGAGCGTGCTCTGGTGTCTCAACGTGGTCCATTGTGTGTGCAGCAGCCCTTGGGTTTTTTCCCTCCCTGCGTAGTATCACACTGTGAGTGTTTACCACAACTGTGTGTCCATCCTGCCGTGGATGAGCTTGTGAGTTGTGTGCAGTTTGGGGCTATGGTGAGAGGTCCTGTGGACACTCTTGGAGTGTCTTGGTGGTGATGACCCACTTTCTTTTAATTGTTTTAATCTGAGGGCAAACAGAACCCTAGAGCCAGCATTAGTGGAGGTTTGGCAAGTTGTTCTGCCAGTGGAGGAATGTTGATATGAAGTAAAACCGTGTTTTATTGACATTGGGGCTTTGTTCCTTGCCTCTGACTAAGGATTCGGTCTTTCACGGAAGTTTTCTAAGAAGACATGGCCTTTAAAAAAGGGATTCCAGTGGATTTGGTTGGGGGGCGGGGGGAGCGGGCAGTTGAATAATAACGATACTTCGCCCTTCTCTCTGAGTCTCCCGGCTTCGGTTCTCAGACGCTTTTCAAAACCAACTTGTGAATCTGCATGGCGCCTGGGGGTGCCGAGTTGGCAGAGGATGCACGGAGATTCCCGATGCCTCGGGGAGTGTTCTCCAGCCTCCTCCGTCCTGGGTTCTGTTCTCTCTGGGGAGGTTTTCTCTCAGGGCCTGGAGTCACAGGGGTTCCGGGCCTGGGGAGGTTTGTGGTTGTGAAGGAAAGAGGCCTGGATGGGAGAGGGCGGTTTCCTCCAGCCGCTCCAAGCGGGGAAAACCCCCTTCTGCGCCGAGCAGAGGGCTGCTCCTGAGGAATGGTCAGCCTCTTTACCCCTCAATTTTGTGTAGAGACGGTCCCCGATCAAGGCGTGGGCAGGGCTGGCGCCTCCCGAGGCCTCTCCCAGGCGTGCAGGGGGCCGCCGCCTCGCGGTGTCCTTACCTGGCCCCGCCTCTGTGTGCGTGCCCCCCCGGGTGCCTCTGCGTGTCCCCTCTCCTCTTCTCACAAGGACGCCAGCCCCGCTGGGTTCAGGCTCACCCTAACGGCCTCATTCTAACTTACTCTTCAAAGGCTGTATCTCCAACTGCAGGTGGTGGGGTTGGGGTTTCACCTACGAATGTGCAGGGACGTGACTCAGCCTTTCACGCCTTTACCGAAGGTCTCTTTGAGACTGTTGTCTACACTGTCTGTCCCCGTTTCCCGACCCCCTGTTCCATCCTGAACGCGCTTCAGTCAGGCTTTTGCCCGCAGCCTTGAGTTTAAATAGCCCTTACCACGGTCACCCAAGCCCAGGTCCACTCTTAGTCCTCGTGGGACCTGAAGACACTCGTCCAGACCGGCGCCGGCTCAGCCGCTCCGCCGCTCCTTGGAACGTGGCATCAGTTCCCTGCCTTCCTGGCCGCTCTTTCCCAGTCTCTCCGAAGGCCTCCGTGTCCCCTGACCCCTGAGGTCAAAGGGCTCAGCCTCTCCCTTGGAGCCCCTCCCTGGTGGTTTCCAGCAGACTCAGGGCTTGAGAGCCATCTCTGTGCTCACATCCCAGGTTTATCCCTCCCGCCGGGCCTCCCCCGCTGAACGCTGGGCTTCGGAGCCAGCGGTCCTGACCGCCCGGACGTGGGGTCGACCCACAGTTGAACGTCGGAGTCTTCCATCCCTAAGCCCTCTCTTCCGTGCGGCCAAGTGCTCAGGCCCGAAAACCTGGGGGTGGTCTTCGGTTCCTCCATTAGGACTAGGAGTGTGTCCACTTGCTCAGCACAGAGGACCCAGGCGCTCTGGCTGGGGCCCCAAGACGGTCATTCCCAGGCCTTCTTGCTGCACCGCCCAGGGGCGACTTGTTCCCCCAGCCGGTGGGGCCTCACCGCGATGTGCTGGGGAGACCCGTGGGCTCAGAAGGGGGCGGCGATACTTGGGTCCTGGGCCACCAACCCACTGGGCCATCTTGGCCAAGCCCCTTCTCCCCTTTGGGCTCAGTTTCCTCACCTGTGAGAGAGGAGACAAGGCCAGGGATGACAAATGGGTTTCACCTTGAGGCCGAGCTCTGAGCAACTAGTACTGGCTTGCTTGAGAAAGCGCCCCCACCCTCACCCCCCAGCTCTTCGGAAGAGGGTAGCTCTGTGATCGATTGCCCATGTCTGCTGTGGGTGTGAAACTTACGATTGGAGCTGGGGTGCCCCCATTAGTCATTCCTGCCTCTGCTCCCCTAGACCAGGAACCCACCAGCTTTAAAAACCCGCGATCGTGCCGTGACCTTGAGCAAATCACTTTCCTGTCCCAAGGTTTTGTTTCTTCACCAGCAAGATGGAGACAAATAACCCTTGCCTTCCTACTGCACAAAATCGCTCTGAGGAGCGGATGAGATAGTTGGTGAAAAATGGCTTGGAAAATAACAGGCCGCTATATAAATGCAAGGTTTCATTGTTATTAATTCACCTCCCCCAGCCACAGCTTTGTGTTTGTCATGCCTGCCTTGGAACCATCTTCCTGGGCTGGGCGAAAAGGCGTTGCTTTCGTTTTTGCTCCCCCTTGGGCAAGACAGCGCCATTTGGATTTTCCTGGTGATGCTGAGAATGGGGATTAATATGAACTCTGGGTGTGGGGGTGTGCTGTTTCTGTGCTTGGGAGACCGCGGCGTCTTTCACAGCCTCCGGGCAGGTGAAACCGAGAGGCCTCCTCTGGAACCTTTCAGCGGCTCAGCGCCTGCATCCCACCACCCCACCACTCTGTGAGGCTTCTGCAGGACGGGCGTGGAGAAACCTTCCCTGAGTAAATTTCTGTCTCCCTCGAGGGTTCATCCTTATTATCCAAATCTCTGGAGTTAAATTAATTCTCTGGTTGGGCAGTCGGGAGCGGGGGGTGGGGGGGGGTTCTCCCCGGAGTACCACCGAGGGTGGCTCTGCTTAATTTCTGGCGGAGGCACGTGCCCCACAGCCCGTGGCGATCCAGTGGCGATATCAAGATATATCTGTTTCGTTCCCTGATGAAAACTGCATCCCTCCCCTCAATCCACAAGCCTCCCCTCTTTCACCTTGAATGTTGTTAATGCCCCATGTTTTCTGCCAGAATCCCAAACAGAGTCTCCGTTTGCAGCTTCCCAGAGACCCAGGGGAGCCATCTGTTCTTACATTATTTGGTTTAAGCAAAGCTTTAGGGCATATCTTCTTGCCAGTGGTGTATCCCTAGTCGGATTCATTGCTCAGGCTCTTATTTATTGGCAAGTGTGTTTTATTGTAATGCGTTTCATT